AAATTATCAGAAGAGATAGGCATTTAAAAAGTCTGAGTGGGTCATCCCTAAACACATATACATGCAAGCAACACTAGATGGACTCTGTAGGATATAGATATAAAATAATAAAAATTTAGAAGAGGTCACAAAATTGAGAGGTAGTGAGTGGGATCATGAGGAGCTGAGACAGGAGAGGGAGAGAGGGAGATGCTACAAATATATGACAGTCTCAAAAAAATTAAATGGGGGGAGGTGGAGGAAAGGGAAGGGAAGGGAAGGAGTAGAAGGGAGGGGAAGGGAGGAGATCCAAAGTAGTTACAGGAGCTTGGGTAGAAGGCATGTTACAAAGCCTGGGCAACGATGGGGTACTTGGACTCAGAATGCTGCTGCAGAGCTGGACCATCATGGAAGAGATTAAAAGATAAAAGCAACAACTGGATTTGCAGGCTGGGTGGGTAGGATTCATGGGCAGTTCTTGCTTATACATTTCAGTGGAGATCCATGGAAAAAGCAAGTAGGTTTGTGTAGCGAGCATGTCTGTTGCATGTCACCACCACAAAGATCCAGTAAGCAGAGACAGGAGTTGAATCTTTAAGATGCGTTCTTTATTCAGAGCCAGTGATCTGAGAAAGCAACAGATTAGCAGTTAATACAACTACCAGACCTTTCTGCCATCTCATCCTAACCAGCAGATTACATAGGGAAGGAAGGAGTGGGGAACAAAGGCCATTGTCCCTGTGGTCAGGTGGCCAGCTTTGTCTCTAGCTAGATAACATAGCAAATATGAGAACTCATGATCAGTCAAAGAATTAAGAAAAGGTCTGGCTAAACGGTGAGCATTTGTGAGCACTTGGGAGGTTCTTGGCTCCATCTCCAGCATAAAGAAAAACAAGCAACATATTGAGTGAAGGGATGAGAAGATTCCAAGATGAGAGGAAGGCTAAACCAGCATACCTAAACCTTTGGGACAGTCCCAGGATAGCTGCTGTTGTCTGCTCAGCAAGAGTGGTGTCTTCTCACAACGTAAAGCATAGCCAAGGGCATGGAAGATCTGTTGAAACCTGTGCACTCCCTTATGGCATGATGGCTCTCAATTGTGTGTTTTGTTTGTTGACTTGTTTATTTATCTGTTACTTCAAATGCTAGAGTCATTCACAGTCTTCCAGACCTTTTTAGATTATGTAAATGTCAAAGGTGCTGTAAATTTGTTTAGGAGAACATACCCAATATGTTTATATGTCTGTATTGAAGGGCTCTCAGCAGGTAAACCTTCCCTCTCAATTAGTTCCCTTTCCTCCCTTTCCCAACACTGGAAATCCTCAGAAATTTCCTTGGGACCTGCTAGTAATCCGCCTAGCTGTGGGTAAGAGGGGCAGCTGACAGTCGGGAAATGCCTCAATGCTCTCTCCTCTCCTTAGTGTGGTTAGTTATGCATTGCAAACTCTCCCCACCTTGACTTCTAGAATGGTCATTTCTTATATACAGAAAGACAGAAGGTCAGAGTAGTAGACACTCTTCATAGAAAACAGCTACTCAAAGACCTAGCACAGTGATTATCCCCTAGTCTTGCTGCTGATGGGGGAAAGCTAGCTGGTACCCAGCCCTCCCTCTCCCTCTAGGTCAGATGCTGAACTTACAGTAATGGCTCAAACTCTTAGTGGCTACTAGCTGGTAAGTTCTATATACAAATGATTCATTTCCAGCCTTCTAACTTTCCTTCCAAGTGCCGGCTGTCATGTGCCCAGCCCAATTATGACTCATTCAAATTCCTTTCCCTTGGGGAAATGAGCACTCAGCAAGCTCCTCCAGGATAGTACAGCACAAAAGCATCCTGGTTGAGTCCCGTGTCTCATTTGGTCAATTCACACACCATTATTTCTAAGCATGAGAACTGAAAGACTGTTTGTGTGGCTCTGATCATGGAGGCCCAAACTAAAGTCAGTTGTGTCATGCGACCAAATGAGATTTGGGCAGTGGTAGTTCAGAGTGAGAGAAGGCCATGTGAGTAACTGACCATGCTCCTGACTCCATAATTTGCTATGAGGGGATATGGGGCTTTCAGGACCCTCCAGAGCTGTTCCTGAAGTTTCCACATTCTGTAAACAGCTTAATAAAGCCCCACAAGCAAGATTTTGTGTTCATCTTTTTTTCTTTTCTGTTACTTTAAAATATTGGCACTGCATAGGGAAGCTTCTCTGGTGAGAGCTGAAAGATGCGTTAATCTATGGATATAACAAGTCATTTGAAGTCCATTTAATACTATGACCATTTAGTAAAAAACTGGTATTTGCTCTCTCCTATGCCCTGTGACATGTCTAGCCTCAGGTTTCTAGGCCTGATATCAATGTCAGCTATGAAGCGGACCTTATATCTAACGAGAAAGTGGTTGGTTACTCCCATAATGTTCATGCCACTGTTTTACCAGTGAGTATATTTTGCCAATCCCATTGTTACAGTTCACAGGACTCACAGCTGGGTAAGGCTGATGATTATTTCTTCCTTCCATTAGCATGTGTAGCACCTTCCAGCACTGGATGCTAGCCAGTAGAGATGAGGCTTTGAAGTCAGCACCAGCTTGATTTCTCCTTGTTTATTCTACAACCCATCTATGCAGTGTCTTCAGCAATAGGGTTATGGTAGCCATCAGGTTCTGGTGGATAACCAAGAGCAGGGACAGTTGCCAATAGTGTTTGAGGGTCAGTGGGACCCCTTGTTATACAGCAGATGGTGATTAACACAGAAACCCACAACTGGCCAGTGTTCAGAGAACAAGAGGCTGCAGAGTGCTTATCCCTAAGTAGGACACCTATATCAAACTTCTGCATCCAAAGGCTCAGGGATCATTGAGGAAGAGGGGGCAGAAGGATTGTAAGAAGTGGTGGATGACCACAAGGAAACAGAGATTTCCAGACAGCTGGGAAGTTACTCATATGAACTCACAGCAATGGTGACAGCATGCACAAGTCCCATGCAGGCTCAACCAGACAGAATCCCAGGGAAGTAGATACGAAGCTCCAACCTTAGCTAAAGTACCATTGGCCACCAATGACTGTTGGGAGGGAGAGTCAGTCTCTTTCAAGGACTCTCAGTAGGTTAACCAGGCTCCAGTGGACAGACCCAAACTGAAGAATACTTGGGGACACTAATTAGACTCTATAGACCTTATTACATATATAATAGAGTACATTAAATTGGGCAGAGGTTCAGATAGGGGAGGGAATGTAAATACCATCAAGATAAGAAAATCCTAAAAATTCAATAATTTTTAAATCCTTAATTAAAAAAATAAAATATTGGCACTGTTTACAAATATAGTTTTCCAGTCAGCCATACCCACACGATAAAAGTGTTGTTGGTTTTAAATGAGGCTTTCATAGAAGGAGGAAACATGGGCAGCCACATTCTTCCACTCGACTTCTGAACAGCTCCGCACTGATGTACTTCATATTCCAGAATCAGGTCTGCTATCATGTGCTTCTGTCAGATGCACACTGCCAAGGCCACAGACAAGGCCTGTGACTAAAGTCATGTGCCATTGGCAGCATGCCATCCCTGCTGCTACTCTCCCATTCTGTCAATATGTCAATCAAATGAACAGCGGTAACAAATGTCGATGTGTAGAAGTGCGAAGAAACCCTGCTCTGCTATTTGATAGGAGTTAGAAGTTATACAGCTACTGTGAATTCTAACCTATGTAGTAATGTTTTTGTATCTCATAAAATGATATTTAAATTTGTCCATAACATGTTTTTAATCATCATTTTATATGCTACCTGATTATGGGGGCTGGAGTGTGGGCCCAGGCAGTTAAGACTGTTTCCTTCACTTCCAGAGGAACTGAGTTTGGTTCCCAGCACCCATGTCCAGTAACTTACAACCACCTGTAACGCCACATATATGTTGCATACAATCACACACATAAATAAATAATAAATAAATAATAAAAATTTTAAGATATTTTTAAAGCCCAGTGAGATAGTGCCAGTGCTGTGTGCATTTAATCTCTGCACTGGGGAGATGGAAGCAGGTGGATCTCTGTGAGACTAATATTCTATCAAGAAATTATCACTAGTCTCAGTTGATCAAATTCACGAATATATTAAACACATTTCATTTAAACCATTGAACAAAGCCTTTTTAGAGAATACAAAGGAAAAGAGGTTCTTTGCTCATAAGGAGTTTTCAGTTTAACTAGGAAGGCAGCTGGCACAGTGTACAGTTTAATAACAACTCAAACAAGTAATGGGCTTTAATGTAAAAATGTTTGACACCCAATGGATGGTACAGGCACTGCAAGTGTATAAGAAGAGAGAAGAAACACTGGAGGCCAGTGTGATCAGGAAAGAATGAGCTAAGGGGCGAGATCTGAACCAGAACAGTAATTAACTTTACCTATTGTCAGCTGTGAACATATCCCAGTCATGTTCAATGTCTGTTGGGTTGAGCAGTTTTACAGGGCCTCCCATCTGCTTAGTGTCCACATTTGCAGCAGCAATTCACAGGTCTCCTCTTACAGTATTTACTAAACGCCGTGAATCTAAATGTGATAGCTATCACAGTGCTGATGTCCTCATCTAGGGGCTTGCTTGACCTAAACAGTAAGATGCAAATACTACCCAAAGTTGACTGTCTCAGTGCAATATTAAATATTCACTCTGATGTTAGATGTTCTTTGATACTTTTTAAACTTAAGGTTTTCAGTAACACATTTGTTAATGGTGAACAGGAAAAAGTTTGCAAAGTCCAGTTGACTAATGTAGCAAAAGTGAATTTTACCTTCCAGGTGACTAGTTTCTTAGCAAATGAGGAGAGCCGTGTTAAATGCAGATTCTGAATCTGTGGGTCTGGGGTAAGACCTGAGAATCTGTACTTCTTACAGCTCCCATGAAAGGCAGGTATTGCTGCCCACTTTACACAGCCAGACTATGGAGAAAGGAACAGCATGCTTGTCCCTTACTACAGCAGCATCTTATATGCCTTTGCCCTTTGTCCTCAACCGTCTCTGTCTTTGCTTTTAGCACGAAAGCAAGAGATCATCAAAGTCACTGAGCAACTGATTGAAGCTATCAACAATGGAGACTTCGAGGCGTACACGTGAGCACACACACCATTTACTTTGCTTTCACATACTGGGTATTTTCTTTCTCTAATATTTTTATTCAGTTACTGTGCGTTTCATATGATAGATGTTAATCAAATTTAGAACCCATCCCCCATCCACTCTCCTCCCCCACTGAATTTCATGCATTCTGTCATATATGTTAAATCCTTTCTGGTCAAGCATTTGTACCCAAGTGTCCTTTCATGCAAGTTCAGCCTATCTACAGTCACTCCCTTAAAGAATATCTACTCTCCGTCATCCAGCAGTAATTTTTGCCAATAGCTCCTCGGCTATGGTTATGGCCTTCTGCCCATCTCCCTTGTTCTATGCTGGGCTTTTGTCTGATTGAGTTTTCATGGGTCTTGTGCATGCTGTCACCATTGCTGCAAGTTCATATGAGCAAATTCCCAGTGGCCTGAAAGCCTCTGTTTCCTTATATTCATGCACCAACCCTGGCTCTTACAATCTTTCTGCCCCCTCTCCTGCAATGGTCCCTGAGTCATGGATGGGTGAGGTATAGTATAGGAGTCCTATCCAGGGCACTCTGCAGTCTCTTCTCTAAAACAGCCAGGTGTGTGCATCACACTTAGTTGTATGAGGAAGCTTCAATGGTGAGAGTTGAGGGATGTATCAGTATTCTCTCTGCCTCCTGTTCTGCTACGTTCCATGGGCCTTAGGTGTAAAGGTTCTACTGTAGATGTGTCACTCAGAGCTGGGCATCTCTCAGACATATATTCTCTGTATATGACCAATTGTGGAACTTTGTAATAGCCTCCATCTGTTGCAAAAAAGAAGCTTCTTTGATGAGTGTTGTACGGTATACTTGTCTATAAATATAAGGATCCATATTTAGCATACAGTAAGACAGAGATAGGATTTCCTCTAGGATCTATGACCTCGCAAGCCATGTGTATCTGGCTATTGTTTACACTGCCACCCATGAGTTCCCTACCATTGAGAGGGCTGTAGGTTGAATTAGATAGCTGTTGATCACCTACTAGATAAAAGTGCCACTTCTGCACCAATAGAGATAGTTTGCTGTGTCCGCTGTTGTGGTCATTTAGGCTTTGGAGCTGGGTTGGTCCATTGATTGATTTTTCTCCCTTAGCAGCTTGCATAATATCTTCTAGAGTTATGAGAGCTTGTCTTCAGGATAAAGGCTTCCAGGTCAGTTCTGACTCCATTGCTCTAAGTCCTATGTCCTAAGTATGCCCTGTCTTCAGAATAAGGGCCTGAGAGGTAGTAAAGGGCTGTGGCAATAGCCTGTGTTATTTTGGGAGTCTCTTGGACCACCCTGACCATCAACTCAAAAGGAGGTTTCTCCTGTCTGGCACTGTGTTTCTTGTTATGTAGCCTTCAGGTATACACATGCAGTCGTGTTCAGATATTGTATATATTTTTCAGGGGTGGCTTTTTATGCCACTGAAGCATTATTTATTCTCTCTCTCTCTCTCTCTCTCTCTCTCTCTCTCTCTCCTGTCTTCCCCGTGTAAACTACCTCCTCCATTTCCAGTTAAATTACCTCCATTTTCCCCTTGATAATTCTTGTCTCCTGTTACCCGCTCCTTGAGCTCCTTCTTCCCCTTTACCTCTATGGTTCCTTGTATGCCCTTCCCTTCTGCCTTCCCAGGTGAAAATTCCCATTTCCCCCTCGGTAACATCTGTTTCCTATCTCCCTCTCTCAGACTGTCTTTCCTGGTACCTCTGTGATTCTTTTCCATTTTCCTGGCTTCTCTTACATCAGGATATATACTCACAAATAAGGGATTGGTGCTAAAATTTGAAAAAGAGAGAACGTACGTCACTTGTTTTTCTGAGTCTGTGTTATTTCACTTAGTGTCACAGTTTCTAGTTCCATCCACTTACCCGCAAATTTCATAATTTTATCTTTCTTTACCCCTAAACAGAACTCCATTGTGTAAATATAGTACATTTTAATTATCCACTCATCAGTTGAGGGGCACTTAGGTTGCTTCCATCTCTTAGCTATTACAAAAAAGAGCAGCAACAAACATGGATGTACAGATATCTCCACAGTAGGATGAGTCCTTTGGGTATATGCCAAGGAATGCTGTAGCTAGATCACATGGTAGGTTCACTCTTAGATTTTTAAGATTCTCCGCACTGCTTTCTGTAGTAGTTGCATGAGTTTACATTCCCACCAGCACTGAATGAACATTCCTGTTTCTCCATATCCAGCATTTAATGTCTTTTGTTCTCTTGACCTTAGCCAGTCTGACTGGGGTAAGATGAAATCTTAAAGTGGTTTTGATCTGCATTTTTCTAATTACTAAGGATGTTGAGCATTTTAAAGGTGTTTCTTAGCAGTTTTTATTTCTTCATTTGAGAATGCTCTGTTCAGGTCCTTAGCTCATCTTTTTATTGGATCGCTTATTTTCTTGCTCCTTTGTTTGGTTGGTTGGGTTTTTTGTTTGTTTGTTTCGTTTGTTTTTTGTTTTGAGTTCTTTGTGTATTCTGGATATTAATCCACTGTCGGATGTGTAGCAGGTGAAAATTTTCTCCCCCTAGTGGATTTCCTCTTTACTTCATTCGTTGTTTATTTTGCTGTGCAGAAGCTTTTCAGTTTACTTATTGTTGGTCATAACGCCTGTGCAACTGATGTCCAATTTAGAAAGTCATTTCCTGCACCTGTGTCTTGTAGGGCACTGCCTATGTTTTCTTCTAACAGTTTCAGAGTTTCTGGTTTTATGTTGCTCCATTTGGAGTTGACTTTTGTGCAGGGTGAAAGATAAGGGTGTAATTTCATTCTTCTATGGGTGGAGATCCAGTTTTGCCAGCATCATTTGAAGATGCTGTTGAAGATGTTGAAGATGCTGTCTTTCCTTCATTTTGTGTTCTTGACACTTTTGTCAAATATCAAGTGGCTGAAATTGCATGTACTCATGTTTGGGTCTTCTGTTATGTTCCATTGATTTATGTGCCTGTTTTTGTGCTGGAATCATGTTGTTTTTATGACTATAGCTCAAAAATATAGTTTGGGATCTGGTATGGTCCCCGAGCATTAATCTTTTTGCCCAAGATTGCAGGGTCTTTTGTGATTCCATATGAATTTTAGGATGTTTTTTTCCTAGCTCTGTGAAGAATGTCATGGGGATTTTGATTGGCATTGCATTGAATCTATAGATTGTTTTTTGTAGGAGCATCATTTTCACAGTATTAATTCTGCCAATACATGAGCATGGTAGGTTTCCATCTCCTGGTGTCTTCCTTTACCTCTTTCTTTAAAGAATTAAAATTTTCATTATAGGGATATTTAATATCTTTGGTTAGATTTATTCCTAGATATTCTATTTTTATTGAGGCTATTCTGAATTGGGAGGGTTTCCATGTACTCTTTCTCTGACTACTTGTAATTGATAAATAGGCTACTGGGTTTTGTAAATTGATTTTGTAACCTGCCACTTTGCTGAAAGTATTGATCATTTGTAGCAGTTTTCAGGTGGAATTTTGGGGCTCTCTTATGTATAGTATCATATCACCTGCAAATAGCGATACTTTGACCTCTTCTTTTCCAATTAGTACTCCTTTAATTTCCTTCTCTTGTCTTATTGCTGTAGTAAGAGTTTCAAGCACTATATTGCAAAGGAGTGGAGATACTAAACATCTTTGGTTCCTGATTTTAATGGGAATGCCTCCAGTTTTTCCTCCATTTAGAATGATGTTGGCTGTGGGTTTGTTGTATATAGCTTTAATTATGTCGAGGTATAGTCCCTCCAGTCCAATTCCCTCTAGGACTTTTAACATGAATGCATGTTGGATTTTGTCAAAGGCCTTCTCTGTATTTATTGAGGTGACCATGTAATTTTTGTCTTTAAGTTCATTTATATGGTTTATTGCATTTATTGACATATATATTAAACTATCCCTGCATCTCTGGAATAAAGCCAATTTGATCATGTGGATGATCTTTTTTATGTGTGTTTGTAGGTAGTTTTGTATTTTGTTCAGAATTTTTATGTCTATGTTCGCTAAGTTTCTTTTTTATGTCTGTGTTCGCTAGTTTTCTTTTTTGTTGTGTCTTTGCCTGGTTTTGGTATTGGAGTGATACTGGCTTCATAGAAGAAGTTTGGGAGTTCTCCCTCTGTTTCTATCTTTTTAAATAATTTAAGAAGTATTGGTTGTAGATCTTCTTTGACTGTCTAATAGAATTCTGTTGTGAATCCATGTGGGCCTGGGGTTTTTTTAGTATGGAGGTTTTGTATTACTGTTTCAATTTCCTTCTTGTAGGTCTGTTTAGGCTGTTGATCTCCTCTTGGTTTAACTTTGGTGGTGGCCATTACTTTATAAATTTATGTTTACATTTTCAAATTTAATAGACTATAGGTTTTTAAAGTATTCCTTTATAATGTTCTCGATTTATTTGCTGTCCGTTGTGATGTTTCCCCTTTCATCTCTGATTTTGTTAATTTGGATTTGCTCTTATTTTCTTTGGGTTAACTGGGCTAAGGGTCTGTCCATCTTGTTTATCTTTTCAAAATACCAGCTCTTAGATTTATTGATTCTTTATGTTGTTTTCTTTGTTTCTATTTCATTAATTAGTGCTCTCATTTTTGCTGTTTCTTCTCGTCTGCTAAGTTTGAGTTTGGTTTGTTCTTGCCTTACCAGAATCTTGAGTTGCACTGTTAAGTCCTTTATATGTGTTCTTTCTGTTTTTTTAATGTAGGCACATAGAGCTATAAACTTCCCTCTTGGGACTGCTTTTTAATTTCTTCTTTGACCCATTTATCATTCTGGAGTGTGTTATTTAATCTCCATGAGTTCATATAGTTACTAGAACTTTCACTGTTGATTATAATAAGCTTTATTGCACTGTAGTCTGATAGAATGCATAGAATTATTTCAGATTTTTTTGTATTTGTTAAGGTTTGTTTGTCCAAGTATGTGATCAGTTTTAGAGAAACTTGCATGGACTGCTGAGCAGAAAGTGTATTCTTTGGTGCTTGGGTGGAATATTCTGTAGATGTCTGTTAGGTCCATTTGATGTAAGATGTCATTTATTTCAGATGTCTCTCTGCTTATTCTTTGTCCAGTTGACTTGTCTATTGTACATAGTGGGATATTGAAGTCACATGCTATTACAGAGTTGGGGTTAATCTGCTTTTTATGGTCTTATAGTACTGTTTTTATGAAATTGAGTGCACCAGAGTTTGGTGCATATGTGTTCATGATTGTAATATCTTCTTGATCAATCCTTTAAAATGAAGTGACCCTCTATATCTCTTCTGATTAGTTTTCATTTGAAGCTTATTTTGTCAGATATTAGAATTGCAACATTTACTTGCTTCTTAGTGCTATTTACTTGGAATTTTTTTTTCCATCCTTTCACCCTAATGTAATGTCTATCCTTGAGGATGAGATGAGTTTCTTGACGATAACTAAAAGATGGGTTTTGTTTCTTAGTCCATTTCACTAGCCTTTGTCTTTTTACTGGGGAGTTGAGGCCATTGTTATCTAGAATTATTATTGAAAGATGTATATTGGTTACTGTCATTTTAGTTTGTTTGTGTTCTTGTTCCTATTTTTTCTTTCCATAATTATACTTTCCTTTGTTTTCTTTCTGTAACCTCTTGGGTATAATCATTCCTTTCTTAGGTCCTTTGTATTACTTCAATAGGGCTGGGTTCATGGACATGAATTCTTTCAGCCTATTCATGTCATGGAAAATTTTCTGTTTTTCTTCAACTATGGTAGATAGTTTTGCTGGGTAAAGTATTCTGGTTTGGCACCCAGGGTCATTTAGAACTGGGAATACTTTGGTCCAGGGTCTTCTGACTTTCATAGTTTGCATTGAAAAGTCAGCTATAATTCTGATGTTTTTCTTTATACATAACTTATTGTTTTTCTCTAGCAGCTTTCAGTACCCTCTCTTTGTTCTGTATATTTAGTGTTTTTACTATAATATGCCAAGGGGAGTTTCTGTTCTGATCCTGTCTGATTGGTGGTTCTGGATGCTTCTTGTATCTGTATGGGTATGTCTTTCTTTAATTTAGGAAAATATTCTTCTATAATCCTGTTAAAGATCTGGTCAATGCCATTGGCCTGAGATTCTTCTCCTTCCTGTATGCCTATGATGTATAGATAATTTGGTCTTTTCATGGTATCCCACATTTCCTGTGTATTCCCGTCCTGTGTGTTTTTAAATGTTTTTTTAAAGTCTTTGCTGAGCAGTCCAGTTCTTAAGCTTTGTTGTCCAGTCTTGATATTCTGTTTTCCATTTCATTCATTCTACTTGTGAGAGTTTCTCCTTTCTTTTCAAATTGACTTATGGAGTTTTTCACTTCAATTCCATCTTTATTTTGCCTTGAGTTTTCTTCAATATTTCTCTATCTTTTGTAACTCACTTTTCAAGTCCTGAATTCTTTCTGTTATTTCATTCACCCATATATTTGTATTTTCTTGAGCTTCCATCACAAGGAAAAAAAAGGGGGGGACTCTAAATACCATCAAATTATATTGTATGAAAATTGCAGTAATTCAGTTACTAAAAAGAAAAATGCCTTTTTGGAGTCTGCTTATTTTTAAAAAATAATTTTGTTGAACTTTTGCAAAGTTGATGCAAAATGTTTTTATCATCTTGCCCTTCCCTATCTGCACCTCTTATAACCTCCTCCCCAATTTCACATACTCTGCCACATCCTTACAGAAAACCAGCTCTCCCTCTCCCAGTAGTTATCGGTTGCCAATAGTTCCTCAGCTAAGTTTGAGGCTTCTTACCCCCTTCCCCACGTCTGTGCTGGGATTTTGTCTGCCTTAAGCTTGCATACTGCTACCATTGCTATAAGTTCCTGTGAGTAACTTCCAGCTGTCTGGAATACTCTGTTCCCTTGTGGTCATTCACCACCTCTGGCTCTCACAGTCTTTCCGCCTGCTCTTCCACAATGGTCCCTGAGCCTGGTAGCAGAGGTTTGATATAGGTGTCCTATTCAGGGATAAGAACTCTGCAACCTCTTTTCTCTGAACATTGGCCAGTTGTGCCTTGCTGGGTTAATCACCATCTCTTGCATGAGGAAGTTTCGCTGGTGAGAGCTGAGAGAGCATTGACTGCTCCTTGACACATTTAGACAAGGTATATGATAGAAGTTGTATAATTTTAGTGATTTTCTTCAGTCTCTTTCCTTCACTGACTGATAAACAAAAATGCTTAGATATGAAACAAAATGGTTAGCACATTAATTGATGAATTGTTTTTCTTACCACAGAAAAATCTGTGACCCAGGCCTTACTGCCTTTGAACCTGAAGCTTTGGGCAACTTAGTGGAAGGGATGGACTTCCACCGATTCTACTTTGAAAATGGTACTTCATTCTAAATTCTACTACATGACTTTATGAATTTTCTTTGAATTTCTTCCTAATTTGAAGACTTTTTGGCTCTTTCCTGCAATAGGAATTTTTACCTACAGCATTTTCCACCATGAAAACTATTCATGTTTGAACTGAAAAGTATGTATTTCATACCTGCTTATTGTACTTTGAAAAGTATTACCTTCCTTTGAAAAAATGAAAACTCCCATTAAGTCCTAGTGAATAAATAACATAAGCTCTACAATGTTATAAATATGTATTATTTGGGGTTTTTGTAAGATTGCTAATATATGAAAAGAGAAAGACGCCACAGCGTGCCAGGGCACTCAGTGTGGAAGAACACTGGTGCACATCTAGTTCTTGCTTTCAAACTCAGTGTGATCAGAGATGAGTGTTCGGATAAGTGTTTCCACTCAAATTGCAGATGTTTTAGTGGTCTCAGAGTAAACATATTTCAGAATAAGTTGGCAAAAACAGTTTCTGCAAGAAAGAAGCAAAGCAAAACCAAAAACTCGGTGTAAAATATGGATTCCCTTTACTCTTCTTTTTCTTAGCTCTTACTTCATTAAACTGGGTCACACGAGTCCAGGCTGGTACCTACTGCCTTCCAAAGAGCTCGTATTCTTTTATATATGTGTATAAAGGTTAGTTCCACCAGTCTGGTACTTTTTAAAAAATTATTTATTCAATAACAATATAATTAGAAGAAGCATTTCATTACAACAGCATTGACATATTCAATAACAATTTCCAGAGCTCAGATGCATCTCTTTCAAAACCGGCTGTAAATTTTTAGGTTCACAGTTGAATTAATACAGTTATACAATATTGTACTCAGTATAAACCCTGTAACGCATAAAATTGAATGAGCTTTTAAGCTTTAAAAAAGATCTCCATTTCATTTTAAAATATACTGTTTCTTACAGAAAGACACATTGTTTTTGCTAATAGCACTGATGTTAGTGCATGCATCTCTAATCTGTTATGTATCTGATTATTACTAATCATTATCAGTTGCGCTCGGATCCTTGCCACTTGTGCTCAGATTCTTAATGTGAAAAATAAAATCAAACTGACCCTAGGACTGCTCCCCCATAACAAACAGTATGCTGCTGAAGTTTTTTTCCAGAATGAAAAAATACACAAATGAATAGCATGTTATTTTGTTGCTGTTCATTTGTACTCTAATTGCATGCTGTGTTCAGCAGACAGTGGATAAGATTCAGGAGGCTTTGTAATTCTCCTTTTCCTAATCACAAAGAAGAAAATCTCACACTATACTGATAACTTTTGTTTTGAGGTGAATGAAATGAATTGATATCTTAGGCAAAAATACAATTTTAAAGTTGTATTCAAATTTAGTTACTTTTTAGTGAGGTCCTAATTCTGTAAGTTAATCATAAAATTGAAAATAAAGACACCCAGTGTTTGATCAAGTACAATCGTAATTTACATTTGCTAAAATTTATGTGTTTTACATTATGAAACCTGAATTTAAGGCAAATTGATGGATGTGGTATGGTGTTTGTCTCCACAATTAACATCATATAGTCAACAAAATAAAAGTGTTGCTGTTTGAGAATGTTCTGTTGAGACCCTGGGACTCAGGCAAGGAGACTGTGAAAAATTGCTTGTGTTGCTACATTTGGCTGGGCAAACTACTATAAGCAGGGAGGAAAAGTTGGCCCTATGATGAGTGGAGAAGTGGCCTTTAAGTTCCTAAATAGTGAGATCATGTAGAGAGACAGGATAGTAGCTGGGCATTTGGTAGTTAGGGACATGTGGGGAGAATTTGAGACAACTCTTTACCAACGGATCTGAAAGTAAAGTGTTCTCTAACAGAAATACTACCACTCATTTCAACTGCCCCAGGGGCCCTTCACATAAAGACAGAGACTTCTCGGTGTAGGTGGGCCAGGCCTTCTCTGTCTCTCTCCATACGATGACTTCTGTTTGAAGTCCCTTCCCATTATAGGTAAATGCATCTCTTCAGCTTCCCTGCCTAATGAATCAAACTTGCCAGAATAGCACAAACGGTCTACACCTCAGAGAAAATAGACTTTTGTGTTTTTTTCTTTCCTTATGTCTACTTTATACAGTACCCAACACTCAGTTACTACAGATAGATCCACAAATCAAGGTGTGAATGAATACCATTCTAGTCATTGATTCCCAACTGGAGTTAACCTTGACTACATAGGATCTTATTTTTTTTTCTTTTTATCTTATTCTCTTTTAGCTTTGTCCAAAAGCAATAAACCAATTCACACTATCATCCTGAACCCTCACGTGCACCTGGTGGGGGACGACGCGGCCTGCATAGCATACATCCGGCTGACACAGTACATGGACGGCAGTGGGATGCCAAGGACAATGCAGTCGGAAGAGACGCGTGTGTGGCACCGCCGGGATGGAAAGTGGCAGAACGTTCACTTTCATCGCTCAGGGTCACCAACAGTACCCATCAAGTAAATATTCACAGGTGCTCAGCTTCCCTGTTAACATGCTGGGGGCCAGCTCCTTCTACATATTCTGCTGATAAGGGGTGGAACCTGATATTTAATGCTAGTCATTGCTTATATTGGTGGAAATAATGGCCTTCATGGAAAGGTCTACCGTTCTCTGGAAGGGTCAATCAGATCAGCCATTTGTGGGTTGGAGTCTTCCATAAAGCAGTGCTCAATAATTTTCAATAGAAACTAGAAAATACCCTATCAAGCTGATACGGTTTGTGTAATAAGGTAAGATAGTTGTGACTTCATTTTCCGAACTGGCTGAAGAAAGGGATGTGATAGGAAACCAAAGGGTAGTATTTCCAACACTGCCAGAAAGTTTGCTTCATGGATGAACCCTGGGGCTCATTCACTCACATTAGACAAATTTATAAGGCAACCTTTAAAAAGAAAATATCAGGTAGTATAGTGTACTCTCTCCTCAGCATACCTCAGGTGTCACGTTTAACTTCCAGTCAACAATCTGAGAAATATATATTTCACATCTCCATGTGCCTCTCTTATGCCGGGTACAGTGTATGGTAAAAGGCATTGCCTGCAGGAAACATATGTTCTACATGAGAAAACAACCAATCACGAACACAATGGGAAAAGAGCTATCTAATCAATTTCAGAGTTGAGTGAAATGAATAACTAATGTAGCAACCTGTTTATAGTGTTTTCATCTCCACTGTGCAAACAAGATAGAATTCTGAACAAGATCTTACACAAGGAGCATCATGAAGAAAAGTACATGGCTACAGGAAGGAAGGGTAGCTCCCTTCAGTAATGAGGGATGGTGGGAAGCAGTTGCATCAGTAAGTGGGATGAGCTGAAAGCAAGATGGGAGTTTAGTCCCAGTTGGGAGAAGTCCGGCCCACTCGTTGTCTCTTGCTGGAATACCCTGTTAAGAGTTAAGGATGTGAAATAAGGAGTCGGGTCCATACAAACAGCCACTAGGTTTACTCCAGAGAATCCGTTATGATTTCTCGATTTGGTGATAGATTATCAAACATAGTGGTATTCAAAGGCCTTCTCTATAGTCTTAATAAGTATATATCACTTTTGGATATATGAAAAAGTGGACCAATAAAAATAAAAACCAAGCCAACCAAAAATAACACAAAAGGTTGAAATTCATCCTAAAACAATAGCTGTGTGATCAAGAGGAAGACACAGAGGGAATAAGAAAATAAAGGTTTTGAGTGTTTCTGTTTTTTTTTAACTTTAAAAAAAATTGAGAATTTCATACGTGCATATAAGGTGTTTTGAATGAGGTACACCACAAATTGTTAGTTAATATCGGTGTGATGGGTATGTTAGTACAGAACCAGGGGGCTAGGTTTTCTGCAATTTCCTGAAGTTTTAATGGGATAGAGCCTATTTAAGAAAACTTCCTTTCTTCCAGGTGGCTTAAATGGGGCCTGTCTTAATAGGCCAGCCTGTATTCCAAATGAGAAAGAGAACTTCTCAGGAGACACCTCTCTGTGGCAAAACATATGAGTCCTGTAAATAGCATCCTGCCCATGACTCGTTGCAATGGGAGCTAATGACTAGAAAACTGCGTGGGTGTTTTTCTTCCTTTTGTGGACGGCTGTTCAGCATTAGACTTAAGGAAACACATATAAGGTCTTTGAAAATCCATTGCAATTTTGTGTGAGACCTTCATTCTAATGTTCAGCACCACTTTTATCATATCACCCTTACGTTAAAGGTAATAAACACCAAGAAGGACCTTTTTCCAACATTTGGGTTGCACCATTTTAGCATCTTGGAGTTCTCACATTAAAAGTCAGTTATGTCTAGGTTAATTCAGACAATTCTCAGTTATCTAGACCAGTTTATATTACGCTTTAGAATCCTTTGGTGTCTCAAATTTTTTGCAGTTACAGTTCTGCTTAACATTTGGCAGAAGTTAATACATATGTGAGCATGAGATGCCTGAGGTCAACGGCGCTAGAGTAGGAAGGCAGGCCACAACAGGATGTCCAGCTACACTGGAAATACAGAGGCAATTCCCTGGATAACTGAAAGTTGACTGCGCTGTGGTTTCTGAAAATTTCTCTCTTAAACTGGGCTTAGGGTACAGAAATTTTGTGGTGTTTATATTTTCCCATGACAGGGCACTTTTAAGAAACAAGGCTCTCAACTGTTCCTCTAAAGAACTGAATAATAAGCCAAGGCGGTGGCGCACGCCTGTAGTCCCAGCACTTGGGAGGCTGAGGCAGGCAGATCTCTGTGAGTTCAAGGCCAGCCTGATCTACATAGTGAGTTCCAGGACAGCTGGGGCTACAGGGAGACCCTGCTTCAAAAAGACCAAAAAAAAAAGAACTGAATAATAATAATCATGATTTCCCCACTGTTGAGGCTTCATTATACCCTGTTGATATAAAGAAGACACAAGCTCAGGAATAACTTGAACTTTAAGTTTCTTTCAACCAAATACTAATATGAATTTACTAAAATTTGTCTGATCAATATGAATGTTTAAACGTATATTTAATATCACAATTGAGGCCTGTGCTGCCTTTTCTTTCTTTTTCACTTGACTTTGTGTAAATATATAGATACTATTGATTGTCCATTTTATGTCTTTGTTGAACATGAATATTTTATCTTCTAATGATCACAGGTAAAGATCTTATCCTTCAAACCTGAACTTTAGCTAAGTTATAAAACTGTAGTATTACCTGTGGCAAAAGTTTGGTATTTTGTAAAGACAGCATAATTGATCTCTTCCCCCCCCTTTCTCCTTTCAGCTAATTTTCAGCAGTGCCAGCTCTGCATTCTGTTCTCAAGGCATCTGGAGGGTAACCCTAGGATGTGCTCTCCTCCTCTTCATGCATGTTTCTGAGTGCATGAAGTTGTGAAGGTCCTACATGTAAAGCATATGTGATGCGTCACCTTGTCATAGATTCCTTCCTACACATCATTTACACTCCAACTACCAGATGGATGGTCCATGCAAACTGAAATTACTGTTGGCAAACAATAAGGAGAGGGCAGGCAAGAAAATTCCACAATGATATAAGTTCAATTGATTCATGAAGTTTATCTGTTTAAGCCAAGATTTGAAAGATTTAACTAAAATCATTGTTCTCTGGACGACAGTTTGTAAGAAAAATGTAAATCTTTCTAGAGCTCTGCCGTTAATCTATTTTGGCTTTTTGTTCTGTTTTTGGTTTTGTTTGTTTATAGCAGCTTTGTACTAGCTCATAACTGGAAACACAGATGTCCTTTAAAGGGGGAATTCTTAAACTGACACCTCCATAGCAAGGAACATAGGGAACTTGGCAAGGAAAAGAGAGTGAACTGTTAACACATGCAGCACCCTGGGTGGGTCTCCAAAGAATTATGCTGCGAAAAGCCAATCTTGAACATTTATATACTATATGATTTCATTTACTTAACATTTTAAATGGCAAAATTATAGGAATAAAGAACAGATTGGTGGTTGCCAGGGGTGTGGGGCCAAGGGCAGAAAGGAGTGAGTGGCTGCAAATGGGCATCACAACAGTCCTGGTGATGGCAACATTCTGTATCCTGAGTGTATTAGTGACAATATTGTGGCTGTGAAACTGTACTGTAGACTTGCAAATTACTACTGGGAGACAATGAGCAAAGAGGACAGAGGCTCTCTGACCCATCTTCTAACTATAAGTGGAACTACACTTCAAAATGGAAAAAATTAAAAGAAAACATATATGGCAAAAAAAAAAAAGGTACTTGGATCTGAAAGGATCAGAATCTGAGAACCGTGTACCCTAAGAGAGGGTACACTTCTGTATTTAGTGGTAAAGTCCTGCCTCGGTTTTGTCATGAAATGGAGCCATGTGGGTCTGTGCGAGTCCAGGTGCATAGGTGTATTCCTCAAGCGCTCATGTCTGGGTGCTCGTCACTGTGCATCAATTGTTGCTTGCTGCTTTTTTTTTTTTTTTCACATGCAGAGAATTTGCATTTAATACAGTTATTAGCACCATAATTGCACAAAATCATGTTTTTTGGTTTTTAAGGCAAAATAATATACCTTCAGTTTCCTGGTGAAATCCTGGTAAAAATGATGACTTTTATCTGAAAGTTCTGATGTTACATAAGTGAGTGGTTATATAGGTAAAATCCCATGTGAATATAGAAGCAAGAGTCAGTTGATGAACTACCATCAAAGCCATGTTCTGGGTCAAACCATGTAAATGGGAAGAATTCACATCATTTACAAGTCTGATCATGGACACGAAGCTCTAGGAACTGCCTGATTTTTTTTTTTCCTTCCTCAACTCTGTGTCCTGTTCTCTTTGCTTTACCCCATCCCCTTGCTCCTTTCCTCTGCTTTTCTTTTTTATTTTCTTTGGTTTCTCCATCCTTTTCATTATTATCTTTCTTTCTTTGGTGGGTAGTATATAAGAAAAGAATAAGTGAGATTTGCATAATGAAAGTAAAATGAAAATCAAGGCCTTTTGGAGGGAGCAAAACTAGCACTTCCGTCATTTTCACAAAATTGAAGATTTTATCAAAAGGTTTTTAATTTAGCCTATGCTCCCACTTGTACTAGTTATCCTAACCATGTTAAAATTGCAGGAACTAACTGTTAGGCTAACAGCAGTATGCCTCTGCTGTAACTTTCTGGATCTTACTGACTGGGGAAATTTCCAGAAGACAAGTGGAGCGTGACCAGGGTTCTGTGCAAAGGGCTGGTCTGAACCTTGTGGAATCCTGCTCATGTCAGTAGCTAGCATTCTCAAGTTGAAGAGCTTGGTCATGCTTCCCATTCTCATATGCATTGTATACTGGAGCTTTGTGACTTGTGATCTTTTAGCTTCCCTCCTCAGTCACAATATCGTTGTTTTTCCCCAAGGAGTTAGGACTTTCGAAGTAAAGCAAAAGAAAAGGGAAATGCCCAGATTTTCTTAGCGCTTCCCGTGTCTTCTTTGTTAGTTCAGTTTCTGTGAGACTGTTTCTCTGCCCTGAAATGCTCTGTACTGCATGGAGTTCCCATCAGCGTTACTTTAGCTGTAGTTACCCACAGTTCTTAGAAGCCTGTTTTTAAAGCAGAAGGGAAACAAATACAAGACACCCCCCTCTTTTTTCTCACTTTACCTTTCAGTGTTGATTGCTTATCATTTTAGATATTGTTGCTAGTGAATGTATGGTAGATGGGTTGAAGCTTTTCTGACAATTATTACACAATTTAAAACAACATATATTTAAAGTAAATATATACAGTCAACGTATTGAGCTGTGTTAACCTGCCAGTGAGATCTGTGAAAAAGTGATGGCCTCAATTTTCCCTTCTTAACTTCGTTTACCTTTCTGTGAAGCGGCTCTCCGTGGCACACATATATTTAAAAATAAAAAAAATAGGGGTAGAGGGGGTTGTGGTTTTTTTTACACTTGTAACTTAGCATGTGTGTGGTGTTGAAGCATTGCTATAGATCCCATATGTCTCCCACACCAAGACGTAAGGAAATTGTGATTGGTTCTCCCCACCACAGTTAATTACACATTCATCATCTTCTATCATTTTGAAACACTGCAGTTTACCATAGGATACTGTATATATTTCTTACCATAATGGTAAATGACTGATTGGTATATTTAAGAGTTAATAAATTTGTGATTTCTGCCAACAACGCGTCCTTCTTTATTTCTTCAGAAGAGGCATGCATGCATGATGCTGGCCAGCACTGTGAGCACAGTGGCCTGCCCTGCTCTCCTTTAGGAGGTAAGGACTTGAAGTCTGTTCTCTGCACACAACAGTGCTCTGTCTTTCCAGGGAAAACTTTGCTGCAAACAACTAAGCATCCTAAAAACCTCTAGATATGCTCCCTTCCATCTCCTACCTGGTCAAGTGTGTCTTTGCTAACCCAAATCTGATAGCATCCTCTCCAGGCCATGGCAGACACCCCACTGCTGCTATTCAACTACAACTTGAGCAGACAGAAACTCTCACCTGCTTTCCATTTGCTAAAAGCACCACACATAGTTTCTCTCATGTCTATTCATATTCTTATTCCTTACCTAGAATATTCTGCTCTTTCTTGATTGCCTGATTCTCACTCATTCATTCGAGTCCAGGGTAGAGTATCCTTTGTAAAAAATCTCTCTGGCAACCTGTGGGCATGCTTACTCTCAGGACTTCCAAAGCAGTCTGCCATAACTGCTCCTGTAGTCCCATTTGAAAATATACCTTTGTGTCTTCTTTACTGTCATATAAAAGTCTGTGTTGGACAAGAACTGTGTATTCAGTGTTGTACCCTAAAGTCAATCCTGGTAAGGAAGGAACAAGCTGTCATAAATAGCTGCTGAACTGAGGCCATACTGTAACTGGAAACCTCAAGTTGTTGCTCTAAGCAATTTGCTTCTTCCCTCTGAATCTTAGTTACCATAATCTTAGAATGAGTATAATTATATAAATTTAATATTCTGAAGAAAATGCCTAAAATACTGTTTGGTGGATTTTGGTATATTCCTGTAATCCCTACACTTGGGAAGCTGAATCAGGAGGGTTGTGGGTTCCAGACCAGCCCAGGCTACATAGCAAGACCCTGTCTCAAAAAGATTGTGTGTGTGTGTGTGTGTGTGTGTGTGTGTGTGTCTTGCAACTCTATTCTGCTCAACTGAACGTTCCTACTGTTCGTACCATTTCCTGCACAGGCAGCTATGCAGCTCTGGCTTTGCCATGGGCTGTTCTCTTATGTCAGTTTACTGTTGATGCAAAGGCTAGACAGATCCAAAATCTCAACAAAGATGAGAGTCAGAATGCTACCTGAAAGCAAGGGTGAAGTGGAGTTACACGGAACATTCTGGAGAGTTTTCAAGAATATTAGTTTTGAGTAGCTGAAATTTTGTATTTCTATGTAAACAAAAGAATTATATATATGAGAGTGACTTTAGAAGGCCCAACTTGTGAGTGATTTCACTAAATAAAATGCTACCAGCTTTATTTTTTGTGGTCTCCTTTATTAGATGGAAAAATGAAGATTTTGCCAGGCATGGTGGTGCATGCCCTAATCCCAGCACTTGAGAGGCACAGGCAGGCGGATCTTTGTGAAATTGAGGCCAGCCTGGTTTACATAAGGGACTTCAGGCCAACTGGGACTCCAGGGACACCCTGTCTAAATTAAATAAATAGGAATAAGTAAATAAAATTTTAGCTAAATTGGGGTGTTGTGTGTGCGTGCACTTACGGGGCTAGAGTCTTTGTTGCTTACCACTTTTTTTTTTTTGAGGCAGGAACTCTCATTGAATGGAGCTCACTGTGTTACTGTGTTGACTACAGTGTTGGACCAGGGAGCTCCTGGGATCATCCTTTCTCCTCCCCATTAGAGCTGGGCTGCAGGTGCATTCTACTACAGGTGGATGCTGGGCATCCAAACTCAGGTCCTCGTGCTTACACAGTGAGCACTTTACACACTGAACCTACCCTTCCTGTTGTTGCCTGTTTTTAATGAGTTACCAACATCTTTTAATTGGACATTTCATACATAAGTCACAGTTTGGGCTAAATAATTTCAAAACTCACATAGTTCTGGCCCATTGCTCCAGGGCTCGCTGTAGTATGCTCATAGAAGCTGGTGCTCTACTGAAAAGTGGTCTGTTGCTGCCCACATGCACAGAGGCAGCAATTCTTGGAATTTTCCACCAGCTCTCTGAACACTGGAAGGTTTGACCCCTTTCTCTTTTTTAAAACTTTTTATTGAACTTTGCAAATTTCATATATTTTGATCATATTTGGACACCCTCCCCTGTATGTACTCTCTTAATACACCCCACCCAGGGGCTGGAGAGGTGGTTCATCTGACTGCTCTTGCAGAGGACCCAGGTTCAGTTCCCAGCACCCACATGGCAAGTAGTAACCATCTGTAATTCCAGTTCCAGGGAATCCAGCTCCCTCTTCTGACCTCTGGGCATTGCATGACATGCATGCACTTGCAGGCAGTATACTCATATACATAAAATAAAAATGATAAAATTTTTTTTAAAAAACCCAATTTCATGTACTCATATTAATTATATTAGCGTGTGTGTGTGTGTGTGTGTGTGTGTGTGTGTGTGTGTGAAGTCTAATTTGTGTCCGCAAACACCCCTTGGTGTGAGTTCATCCACTGGAGCCTGGTTAACATACCCAGCTCCACATCCTTAAAGTAGACTGACTCTTCCTCTCCCAGCAGCTTTTGGTTACCAATAGTTCCTCAGCTAGGGTTGAGGCTTCCTACCCACTTCCCCACTCTATGCTGGGATTTTGTCTTGCTTGAGCTTACATGAGACTTGTCCATGCTGTTCTGTCATCATTGCTGTGAGTTCATATGAGTAACTGACCTGCTGTATGGAAAACCCTGTTTCTGTGTGGGCCTCCACAATCTCTGGCTTTTACAATCTTTCTTGCCCCCCTCTTCTGCAATGATCCCTAAGCCTTGAGAGGCCAAGGTTTGATATAGGTGTCCTATTTAGGGTTGAGCACTCTGCAGCCTCTGATTCTCTGCATGTTGACCAGTTGTGGGTCTCTGTGTTAATCACCATCTGCTGCATGAGAAAGTTCAGGTGAGAGTTGAGAGATGCATCAGTCCATGGGTATAACAAGTCATTAGAAGTCAGTTTAATACTATGTCTATTTGTCAGTCTCTCCTACCTCAGCTTCCCAAGTGCAGAGATTCATGTATGCACCACCATGCAAACTCTTTTTCAACCATGCCTTTCAGAGAGTATAAACAAGAGTCCTTATGGTCCCAGAACAGGTGAGTTGGTTCCTAGTGCACATCCGGGTAGCACACAGCCCCTAGAAGAGGTCTTCTTGTTCTTACTCCACACACTTCCCGTGAGTGAGGAAACCTTGCCCACAGCCCACAGCCTGGAGCAGAGTCACAGGCTGTGTGTGCCCTATTGACTTCAACTGATAAGGCCCTACGGTGAGCCAGCTGGGCTGCCTGAGCCCAAGTATTCAGGGAAGGAGAATATACCGCTCCTTTTCAAGAAAGGTTAGGAACTGATACTACCCAGGATAATAGCTATATAGGAAAAGTCAGAAAAAAAAAAAAAAGCATTGTTTTTATTGTCCATTCTCAAAAAAAAAAAAAAAAAATGTGTAAGTAAACTGTTGTTCCTTCCAAACAGAATTTCCTACACTGGTGTGTTCTCTCCTGATGTATGTGCCTGATGTGCCTGACCAATGCTGGGAAATACAAACTCTTTAGGACAAGGAATGTCAGGCATTTCACTTAGTTTCAAGTTATTCTAGGAACCAGTCCCAAGCAGGGTTCATTGGGTAGAACCATGGTGCATCATGTGCTGTCCTGTGCTCTGCGTTAACTTCGGTGAAGATGCATTCAGTGGTCAGTGTTCTTCAGTTCTGCTTTTCTTTTTTCTTTAAACTAGGTAGGTTTTAAAAAATTAACTTGGGAGATGGGAGATTAGCAAGCAAGTAAACACCAGTGATCTTACAGCCCATCCACTTGATTTCACCTGAACAATGGGAACAAAGGAAGGGGCCGCTGGTTATCTGCAGAAGCTGTTCCCTACCCCTGAAGCACAGTCTGGCTGTGGAGTGATATTTGACTTAGTGATGTGTGGTAATGTACAGTGTTTTCTGTCAACTCTCATTGCTCATTCCAGGAGACTCACCATCTACAGAAACTGCTTATCACCCGTTTAGGAAAAGCCACTGTCTTTCTCAGGCTTTACCGTCTACTCATATGTGTTCCTTTAATCTTATCCTGCAAGGGACCAGCCACTCAACTGCTTAAACTGTGAGCAAAAAACTCCCTATAGGGCACAGGCCAGGAGGACTGATTTTCAAACGTGACAATCAAATGTATTTTCCTCATTCCCTCTCAGCCAGTCCACTCTACCAAAATATGTAGATAAACATACCCTATATGAAAACCAGGCCCTTTAGACTGGTGCACTGCATTGGCTGGCATTTGGAAATGACGAGTGGAAAATGGCCTCATAGGCGAGAGAACCAAGAACAGGAGACATTGACCAAGCTCCTACTGTGTGACGAGTTGTAAAGTGAAAATGTCCCCAGAAAGACAGAGCCCCTTCCCAGAAAAGTGTAATTGTGAACTAATGCTGCTGTCCCAACCTGCCCCAGAGAGGCTCATGCTTAAGCCAATAATACTATGAGGGGTTAAGCAAGTCAGAAACTCTTCTTAAGAAGAAGTCACACTCAGCCACTAGAGCTTCTAACACTCACTCCCCAACAGCCACTTCAGGATTTGAGATGCAAGACCTGGAAAGGCATCAGAGGTCTTTCTTAGCAAGACTCTCTGCTGATGCTAGTGTGCCCTTCACAGGAAGAGGGCAAAGGAAACAAGAGCGGACACAGGAGAGAGGGAGTTCCAGATCCCTGTTTTCAGCACAAAGAAACCTGTTTATCTCCATGGAATTCCTTCCATCATGGGGTCCTTATTCATGACTTTTTAACAAAATTATCAGAAAGGGAAGATACACCCATCCTCCCAAGAGTAGCTATGTGCCTGTTCTGGCTGCCTCATGACCCCGTGTCCTCTCATTCCTACTGCATTTGCTTTCTTTCCTATTGCCCTCCAGGTCTACCAGGAAAAGGAATGGGAGTGCTGCTTTCATTATCTTCATTTTTCATCAGCAGAAAGGACAGGGGCTAGTCTAT